AGCCATAGTCAAATAACGACATCCCCAAGTTTCCAAAATCAACAAATTGTGCAACAACGCATATATCAACAGGAATATGCAAGATAATCAACTATCTACTAAGCACAACCAAATTTGGAAACCTATACAATACATGCTCTAAATCCACAACTAATATGATATGATGAATGTCGAATCTTCAGTGTGCGATTCGTTACACACTATGCATAAAATATGTTAAACACGAAGTGTGCAAATCATTACACAAGGTAACAATATATTCAATAAGGAAAACATATTATCACGAATACAAACATAGCAACTATGTTATCCAATGTTCAAAACATAACCAAATGAATATACAATAAGTCTTAGTCCATGATTTGAATATAGAAACCACTTCTAAAACACAACTAGATCATGGAGCAAATTGATAGAATTTAAATAGATAAACACAATTAAATTCTCTAGATTTTCGATTCAATTTCAATTAACCTCAATTTAATACATGTTAAAGGGCATGACAAGGTCATCACCGATATCCATTCTAAAACTCAATTAGGTTATTGGAACAACAAAGTAGAACTCTAATTAAATCATGCTAATTTAATTACCAAGGTTCTAAAGCAACTTCAAATGGTCCACAATTAATATATACTAGTAAACAAGTCATGGCCAATACAAATATCAAGTTAAATCTTAATTAAGCTAATGGGACCACAAAATAGATTTTCATTAATTTTTTTAATTAAAATCTCTAGATTTTCAAACTTAACCAAATGTTCTCAATTTAACATATCTTAGAGAATATGCCAAGGACTAATGTAATATCACATTACAAGTTTATTTCATTCAATTTAAAACCATGTGACTTAACATTTCACTAAAGTTAAATATACATTAAAAGTTGCAATTCTCATGCAATTAATCCCAATTTAATATATGTGAACAACTATACCTAAGCTTAATTTTCTAGCATGCCACACTTCAATTCCAAGTTGTATATCACCATGAGGATTAAATCTTAAACAAGGAATTTAATTAAGTGAAGGGTTTGAAAACCTAACCGAATATTCTAAATCAAATATATGTGAAGCTATATGGTATGTAAGTCAAGAATATCAAGTTGGAATTTAAATAGAGTGAATAGTGCACTCGAGGCAAATTAATTAATCAAATTAATTAATAATTACTAATTTTCAAAACACCTCTAATCACTTTCAAATTCAATTATGTTGGAGAGCATGCTAAGGCTTAATTTAATATGCTAACACATATTGATTTCAAGCTAGTTAAGGCCATGTGAATTAATCTTTCACCTAAGATAATTATTAAATAAAATCTTTAATACTTATTCAAATGTTCCAATTTTAATACACGACAATGAGCATATCAAGGGGCAATATAAAATCATGCTACACGTTTAAACCAAGTCATGAGCAACCGGGAAAATTAGATCCCGTACAAGAAAAATAAATAATAAAATCTCTAGATTTTATATTTAATCATGCAAACAAGTAGTATAAGCATCACAAGCATGCTATGTAACAAGATTTAAACCTAGAACATCCCCTACCTCAATTTGAGATGAAAATCTCAAAAGCCATCAAAATGGAACGACTCCGAATCCGACGAAACTACTAGGTTTTGTCGGGGACAACGCCGTGAACATAAACCCCATCAAAGCCCCATCAAAATCATAACTTGACCTCAAAACCAAACTCAAGAAATGGTCAAAACTGAATTCTACTAAGGGAAAAACGTAGAGCACGGCAAGGGGAACAACAAACGTTAAGGCCGAAGACTTTCCATCAAGGAAAAGTGAACCAAAAGAGGAGAGAGAAGATGGCAGCACCCCTTGGGCTGCCATGGGAGCTCCAGGTCGTGCATGAAGAGGGGAGAAGATGAAAAATGAAATATCTCACCCCCCTTTTATAGAAATCTCAAAAAGTGCCCCGAATGGGCCTCGCCGGGTCCGAAAAAGTAAAATTTGAGCAGACGCACTCAAATGGCAAAACTTTGTGAACAAAGATTCAAAATGATAAAATATGAACAACAGAAGAAACGGTGTCAAAAACTGAGTCCTGAGCAAAAAGTTATGCCCCGAACAAGTTCGGTGGCAACCGGGTCCAGAAACTCCGAAACTGGAGAAAAAGGACCAGAACGGAATTCTAAGAGTCCACGACTAGACGAAATATGAAAATGAATCCCGTACAAGAATCTTGGCTCCAGACGAGACATTTTGCAATAACTTTCGTTAATTGCACAATGACCCCTACAAAAAGGGTTAACTGCGAAACTGCCCTAGAATGAAAATATCTTTCAAAAGATATTTTCTTAGATACCCTTGAAATAAAATATCTTCAAAATATATTTACGAAAAACACCCCAAGAAAAGAAAAAGATTCTAAAGAATTGTGCATCCATGCCCCTATGGGCACAGGGAGCAACCAGAGTACTTTCTTGCAAAAGTAAAGATACTTATTTCGAGGAAACCACTCAAGATGAAGGCACGTGAAGTCAAAAACCAACTCCGAGCATGAGAAGTGAGGTTGTGCCAAAAACTGACAAACGGAGATAAGACATAATAGGGAAAAGAACGAAATAACGCATAGTATCGAAAAACGAAAAATGTGAAAATGACTTGGTTCTCAAAGGAAGTTGTCAATCCACGGAAAAGAGTCTCGGGAACCAATTCCGAGCACTCGAGATGACACTAAGCAATACGAAACAGAGCTCAGAAAAGAAAATTAAACGAAAAAAATTCATTCATAAAATTTCAGGAAAAAAGAAAGGAAGGCAAATGACTGGGTCGTTACAAATTTTATTAATAAATTTAATTAAAGCCTTAACCATGGGTATTTATTAATTAACCCAACAAGGCTTCATTCAAGCTCAAGACCACATCCATTGGTCCCACTTCTCTTAAGTCCAAACCTATTAACTTAAATAAATAAAATAATTAAATTAAATCTATTAAATACAAATAATTCACAATAAAATCACATAAGCATAAAATCACACATAATCAAATAAGCAATTTATTCTTAGCATTCCACAAAGCAAAATATCACACCAATTCATCAAATATAATTACGAAATATAATTTAATACAAATAAATCATAACACTCAATTAACTAAAATAAATTATTTAAAATTAAAAATAAAAGCAATTAATCTCAAATAAATCAAACAAATCATTTTAAATAAAAAATAAAAATCATAAATCCCAATAAATAATACCTTTAAAATATAGGTGTATTACATTAGGACGCAAATGAAAAAAAATATTTCAAAATTCGGATTTATTGTTCATCAAGAATATTTTTATGACTTATTTGTCTTCTATTAAAAAAAATTAATAATAGGACTTGATTGTAAATTTTCCTTTTAGTTATTCTTAATTTCATGATTTAATTCTTAGAGATATAACTCAATTAATGTATTTGTCAAATAATTGAATATAGTACTCCCACCTATGTTCCTTTGAGTCGTCGACCTTAGTAAAGGAATAACAATTATAAAATTAATTTTATAAATAGATGATTATTACTTTTTAAATGACATAACTTTACTTTCAGATTTTCTCTCCTTATCTCTAATCTTTAATATTTGAGGTCTCTTTTGGCAAAAAAAAAAGATTGAATAATATTTTGTTTATATGACAAAAAAAAAAAAAAAAAAAAATTATGTTGAATAAATTGTTTCTTTTGACCGAACCAAAAATAAAAAAGTAACCATTAAAATAATTATCTCTTTTGACAGGGAAAAAAAAAAAACCCAAAAAAAAAAAATTTAGTGAACAAATTATCTCTTTTTGTCAAGATTAAAATAAAAAAAAAGTACGAAAAAAGAGGATTAAAATAAGGAGACGATATCCGCACTCTACTTTTCAACATTTGCATTACAGTCTTAAATAAAATGACAATTTTAACCTTAACTTTACAAGTAAATAATTATTACTTTTTTAATGACACAACTACCTTTTCATATTTTTTGTCTCCTTATCTCTAATCTTTAATATTTTAAGTACCTTTTGACAACACAAATAAAATAAAATAAAAATTGAATAAATTGTTTTTAAGGGACCAAAAAAAAAAAATTGTTATGTTGAATAAATTGCCACTTTTGACCAGATAAAAAAATAAAAAGTAACCATTTAAAATATTATCTCTTTTGACATGAAAAAAACCTCAAAATAAATATATTTATTGATTAAATTATCTCTATTGTCAAGATCCCAAAATAATAATAATAATAAAAAGTACAAAAGAAAGATGATTAAAAGAAATTATCTCTATTGAATAAATTATCTCTTTTGATAAGACCAAAAAAAAAAAAAAAAAAGTTATTTTTATCGAATAAATTATTTCTTTTGATACGACCTATAAAAAATTTCCAAAAAATAAAGTTACCTCTTTTGACAAAATTGAAAAAAAGTTAATTATGTTGAATAAATATCTCTTTTGATTGTATGAAAAAAAAAAAAAAAAAAAAAAGTCACTGTGGAATAAATTATCCCTTTTGACAGCTAAAACTAAAATTATTAGTATAAAATAAATTATTTTCTTTGAAAGGACCTCTAAAAAAAAAAAAAAGTAAATAAGGTAAAAATAAATAAAATTGTATAAATGGTAGTTATGACATTATAAATTAAGGAATTGTGCATTAATGAATTTAAGGACTTTCTTATCATTTCCTTTAGAAGAAAATGATAAATGGAGTGCAATAGGAGAAAAGTGGAATGTGAATATTGTATCCCTATATAAATATATAATATTCATAAACATTCGGTCAAAGAGTTAACGTGTCCAGTGTACATCGTCTCCAAAGACACCGAAGCTCGCACCAAATTTTTTTGGGGGGAAAGTTTAGCGCCCTTCCTTTGATTATATGCGTGTCAAAATATTTTTATTTTTTACTTTTTGGAAAAAGGAAAAAAAAAATGGCCAAACATTGTCGTTTTGGCCTATTTTTATACTTTTACCCAATTCCCAATCTCAGTCTTCTCTCTAGAACATCCCATAAGATGTCTCTCTCTCTCTACAATCACTTTATACTCCACCGGAGGCCTCTCTCTACTGGCACTCTTCTAGTCTTCCCTCATAGTATGCAGGACGCCTCCCTTTCTTTCTCTAATCACTTTTCCCTCAAGCTCAACAAATCGTTCGGGTTTGTGTCCTTCTTCACTTACTGAGTTTTTATTATTATTATTATTTTCTTTTTATTCTCGTACAGAGATTTTTTTTTTTCTTTCTGTTTCTCTTTTTTTACAGTTTAATCATATGCATCAGATCTGTTCTCTTCTAGGTTAAACTTTGGCGGATGAAACTTGGGAGAAAATACAATTAAATTTGCTCTGAAGCTTCTTTCATATTTCATTTTGGTAATCAAAATTTTTCGCTTTCCTTTTCTTTTTCTTTTTTTCTTTTTTTTTTTTTTTGGCTTTATTATTATTTCTTGTACTTCGCTTAATATTATTTTTATATTCTTTAGGATTTTTGTTGTTCTGTTTATTTTAGAATAGGTTGAATAAAAGTAAAAATGTTATCAGGTCTGGTCAACAAGTTTATGTTTGCTGTTATTTCAGGATTAATTAATAAATTAGCTTAATATTACTTTTATATTCTTTTGGATTTTTGTTATTTTGTTTATTTTAGAATAGGTTGAATAAAAGAAAAATGTTATCAGGTCTGGTCAACAAGTTTAAAAAGTTTAATTATAATTAGCTTAAAAAGTTTATGTTTGTTTCATTTATTCTAGAAAGAGTACATCTATTCCATTGCAGCTTCAGTTTTAGTTTAGTGTCTACAAAGATGTAATTTTTTTTTTTTTTCTCTCTGGGTGTTGATTGGAATACCATCTTTATCAAAATTTGGATTCTACATAAGGATAATGAATATATATATATATATATATATATATATATATACACATACATCTCGTTAAAGTAAGGGAAAGATATTCGAAGTCCTCTAACTTTCCAATTATTATTTTGAAAATAAAAAATGGTATCATTGTTTTTAAAAAATATTAATATCACATCATTGTTGTAGGATTAAAGGTTGGCAAGATAATAGCTTGAGATTTTTTTTCATCTAATTCATTTATTGTTATTTCATCACATTTTTTTTGTAATGACCTGGTTATTGTACTTCCTTTCCTTTTTCTCAGATTTTCACGGATATATATTTTTTTTTCCCGTTGATCTTTTCCTTTCTGAGTTCATTTTCTCGTCACTTAGTGTCGTCTCGGGTGCTCTGGAATGAACTCTGAGGCTCTTTTATTTAGATTGACAACTTCCTTTAAGGACCGCGTCATTTCCACATTTTCACTTTTTGGACACTATTCATTTTTCGTCCTTTTCCCTATTTTGTCTTTTCCCCGTTTGTCACTTTTTGGCATAACCTCACTTTTCGTGCTCAGACTTGGTTTTTGACTTCATGTATCTTCATTCGAAGTAGTTTCCATGAAATACATATCTTTACTTTTGCAGTAAAGTACTTTGGTTGCTCCTGGTGTCCATAGGGGCATGGATGCATAGTTTTTCAGAATCTTTTTCTTTTCTTGGGGTGTTTTTCGTAAATATCTTTTGAAGATATTTTATTTCAGGGGTTTTTAAGAATATTTTTGGAAGATATTTTCATTCTGGGTCATTAGTGCAGTTTTCACTTTTTGAAGGGGCCATTGTGCAATTAAGGAAAGTTATTACAAAAATGCCTCGTTTTGAGCCTGGATCCTTGTACAGGATTCATTTTTACTTTTCATCGAGTCGTGTACTTTTAGAATTGCCTTCTAGTCAAATTCCCCCAGTTGTAGGGTTTCTAGCCCTGGTTGCCGCTGAACTTGTTCGGGGCATATCTCTCTACTCGGGACTCGCTTTTTGACACTGTTTCTTCCATTGTTTATATTTTCTCATTTTGGTTCTTTTTTGTTCACGAATTTTTGCTGGTTGAGCGTGTCTATGCAAATTCCACTTTTCCGGACCCGACGGGGCCTTTTCGGAGCACTTTTAGGGTTTTACTATAAATAGAATGCCTTAAAGTGAAAAATTACTTTTTCACCTTCTTCCTCCCTTTCTTGGCCGGATTCCATGGCAGCCAACGGGCTGCCACCTTCTCTCTCTTCTTTTTAACTTTTTCCCTTTGTTAAAAAGTCGTTGTGCCTTTGTATTTTATGTTTGTCTTAACAACACGCATCTTTTCTCCTTATTAAAATCTATATTTGGCCATTTTCTGAGTTCGGGTTTGAGGTCAAGTTAGGATTTTGGTATGTCTTCTTTGGAGTTTATCGTTCACCGTGTTATCCCCGACAAAACCCCGAAGTTTCGTCGGATTCAGAGCGGTTTCATTTTGGTGGCATTTGAGATTTTCATCTCAAATTGAGGTAGTGTAATGACCCGGTCATTTCCTTCCTTTCCTTTTTCCTCAAAATTTTACGGATGAATTTTTTTCGTTGAAATTTCTTTTCTGAGTTCAGTTTTTCGTCGCTTAGTGTCGTCTCGAGTGTTCGGAAATGATTTATGAGACTCTTTTCTTTGGATTGACAACTTCCTTTGAAGACCGAGTCATTTCCACATTTTTCGTCTTTCCACACTATTCACTTTTCGTCCTTTTCCCTGTTTTGTCCTCTTCCTTATTTTGTCTTTTCCCTGTTTGTCACTTGGTTGGCATAACCTCACTCCTTGTGTTTGGAGTTGATTTTTGACTTCATGTATCTTCATTCTAAGTGGTTTCCACGAAATACGTATCTTTACTTTTACAGAAAAGTACTCTGGTTGCTCCCGGTGTCCATAGGGGCATGGATACACAGTTCTTTAGAATCTTTTTCTTTTCTTGGGGTATTTTTCATAAATATCTTTTGACGATATTTTATTTCAGGGGTATCTAAGAAAATATCTTTTGGAAGATATTTTCATTCTGGGGTAGTTTTGCAGTTAACCCTTTTTGTAGGCGTCATTGTGCAATTAACGAAAGTTATAGCAAAATACCTTATTTTGAGCCTGGATCCTCGTATAGGATTCATTTTCACATTTCGTCGAGTCATGTACTCATAGAATTTCCTTCTGGTCATTTTTCTCCAGTTTTAGGGTTTCCGGACCCGGTTACTACATAACTTGTTTGGGGCATATCTCATTGCTCGAGACTCAGTTTTTAACGTTGTTTCTTTCATTATTCATATTTCCTCATTTTGAATCTTTTTCATTCACGAAGTTTCACCGTTTGAGCGCGCCTGCTCAAATTCCACTTTTTTAGACCCGGCGGGGCCTTTTCGAGGCACTTTTAGGGTTTTTCTATAAATAGGGGACTTAAAGATGAAAAATCAAAAATTTTTCTCTCTCTCCTCTCTCTTGACCGGTAGCCATGGCAGTCAAGGGACTGCAACCCTTCTTCTTCATTTTGCGGCCACCTCCATTTGTTGAAACAGTGCCTTAGCGTTAAATGCTTCTCTTCACGACGCGCATCTTTCACCCTTATTAGAACCCAATTCCGACCATTTTGTGAGTTTGGGTTTGAAGTCAAGTTGTGATTAACATGAGGCTTCCTTAGGATTCATGTTCATTGTGTTGTCCCCGACAAAACCTAGAACTTTCGTCGGATTTGGAGTGGTTTCAATTCAGTGGGGATTTGAGATTTCATCTCAAAATGAGGTAGGGGATGTCTTAGGTTTATATTAATGTTGTATTGATTGTTATATGAGCATATACAACTTGTAAGCATGCCTTTGTTCAAGTTTTAGAATTTAATTTAATTATTTTCTACGTTTAAAATTTAATTCTCATGAAGGTGTGTAATTTAGAATTAAATTGTGGCGTACTAGAAATTTAGGCCTTGGTATACTTGTTGACATATATTAAATTGGGAGCATTTGAATAAGAATTACAAAATTTATTTAATATTTATCTTTTGTGAAAGATTAATTCACATAGTTGCATCAAGCATGAAATCAACTTGTAATGTGATATTTAAGTAGGCCTTGGTGAGTTCTTCAACATATATTAAATTGAGGACATTTGGATATGTTTAAAAATCTAGTGAAAAATTTATTAATTAGCTTAATTAATTTTATTTTAAGTGTTGTAGTCGCTTAAATGGATTTTGGGTATGATATATGTGAAGACCATGTTATGACCTTTAACATATATTAATTTGAGCCTATTTGAAATTGACTTGAAATCTAGAGACTTTTCATGTTAGGTTGATCATCATTTGAAATGGAATATGTTTAATCACCTTGTGAGTGTGTTACTAACTTGTTGTAGAATTAGTACTCGAAATCTCTAAAGATGGTAATTTGACTTAGCATGATAGGTGATTGGTTTTGGAAAGCTTGTGAGGACATAATTTATGTGATGGCTAGGGTTTGGCTTTAGTACGGAGACAAGAGTCTTCTAAGTCATAAGTGCGCGCTAGGTGGTACCTTGTGGGTCGTAATTACCAAAAAATTCTTGCTTGGTCTAGCGACCACATGTCCTAGTCTTTTCACTATTTGATTTCATATTTAATTTCAAATTGTTAATTATGGATTACTTGTAGCTTGAGAATTGATGCTTGCCTTCGATATTTGAATACTATTTAGTATACTTGAACTTGTATACTTGCTCTGTGAGTTTAGATTTTATTTAGTATGCTTGTGTTATGTATTCTTGTTTTAGCCCTATCTCTCTTAGCTTAGTATACTTGTGTCGATATACTTGATTTTCAAGATTTTCATATAAAATGCATACTTGTGTGAATATGCTTAGACATTGCATGACTTGTCTTAATGTGGTTTAGTATACTTGGAAATGTATGCTTGTATGTTGTATAACATGTTTTAACATTGCTTAGTATACTTGAGCATGTATACTTGTATGTTGTTGTTCACTTTAAATTGCATTAGTAGCTTAGGATGATCCCTGAGTCTCAGCTTAACATAGACGTTAGGTGGCATGAGCCCCTTTAACATGTTTCACCTTAAGGTGATAATTTTGTAAAATGCTAGGTCGATACATGCCTATCTCCTACGAGTAGCTTTATGTTACTCACCCAAGTAGTGGGGACATTTTTCAGGTACAGGGACCTTGATTTGGGATGCACACTACGCCATGGAAGTTTCATAGACTTGAAGTATCATTCTCATGAAAATGTTGGCGTGAAATCCTATTTGTAGTTTTGTATGACAAAACTTGTATTTTTGTTCCAAATATGTAATGTGTACATAAGTACACTTTTTGTAAGGTAATTGATGTGTATGACATAAGGCCAAGGGCCACAAACTTTAAAGTTCAAGGGTATGTATGTAAACTTTAAGTTTTGCCTTTGAAATGCATTTTTATCATCTATGGAGGTTTGGCATGTCAAATTTTGTAAATGATATGTAATGAGGCCATGGGCCATTGTATCACACTTTAATATATAAAGTACACTTGTTAACATCCTTACATAGTTTTAAAGTTTGTTTTTGAACCATTCTATGATAGGGTTTGAGGCTTGGGTGAAGCCTTATTAATTCTATTGCATAACAAGGGTTTTTGCACCTCTTTAAGTCATTTCGGTCGTCCAAAACTCTATTTTGGTCGTCTGAAACTCTATTTCGGTCGATCGATGGCTTTTGGTATTTTTTTGAACATCTAAAGCACTCATTCTAGTAGCCAAAATTGCCATTCAGGGACATTTCGGTTTACTGATGGTTTATTTCGGTCTACCGAACCAACCAGCACTCTAAAAAATGTTTTCAGAAAAGTTTCTACCCAGTTCGGTCGGCCAAAACTCTATTTCGGTCAACCGAAATAGCTTGTTTTCGCACAGCCACTCAGGTTTGTTTCAGCACTGAAGTTCCAACTTCAAATAGCCATATCTCCTTCATTTCTAATCCAAATAGGGTGATTCTTGAGCCTAAATTCATGGATTTTGAGTCAGATTTCCAATGGTATCAATTCCATTCTTAGATTCAAGTCATAGTGGGAGGTTTTCAAGTTTTAGTGAAGTAGTGTCAGTTTTCGCTTAAACCGGGAAAAGACATTTTGTGGGATTCTTGTCCAAAGTTCTTAAAACCTCTTGAAATATTGTGAAATCATTAGATTAGGTTGTAGTCACCTTGTTTGAATTGTTTAGAGTCAATTTTCCCTTTCTAATTGTGAATTGACAATTTTGCCCTCCATTGCCGAATTTTGCTCGTTTTTGACACCGTTTACTCCTTTCGTTTTCTTTAAGTTCCATGACTTCATGGAAGGTCACATTGGTGTCTTAGGAATAATTTATATCCCTAAAGACATTAGTTTATCATTTGCTTCTGCATTTCGAATCCGTTACCGGGATAATCTTCAGGTTACGGATTAAATAAAACTCGGGTCACTACAAGTTGTATCAGAGCTCCTAGGTTCGAAAACCTTAGGACGATGGGTTTTGGGTGCATATCATGCTTGTGTTGCCATGCTCTATGTTTTTATTTGCTTCTTGATAACATGTTGAATGTGATCACATGTTTACATGCTTATGTGGATGTATGCTTATGTGTCTCAGCATGTTTACATGGTTGTTGCTCTAGTATATTGTATGTGCTAGTCTTTCTGAGTACATTGTATATACTTATAGGTCTTAGTATGTTGTATGTGCTTGTCTGTGGTGTCTTCTCGGGGTTTGTGCACAAAAGGATGCATAAAACTTTGAGTTTGGAAATTAGTGTCAAGTGGGTACCATAATTTAAATTTATAAACCACTTAACACCTATACTACGTAGTATGAGTGAGAAGGGATCGTCCCAAGGGATTGAGTTGTCGTACTAGCTTGTGGAATTACTATTAGGGTTAGTAGGTCGAGTGATCAAACAAATAGTTGGTTGGTTGATTAAACTAGAGAACAAATTAAACTAAATAATTGAATACAATAAAGAGTAAGTAAGAGAGAGAGATCTTGGGGTTTAGAGGTCACCACCAAACAATACTTTTCTACACCCTTAACAAGTGACTAATGAGGGAAATGTGTGTTGCAATATTGATGTGTGTGTGTGTTTGGTTGATTCAATTAGCAAGGATGGCCAAGTAAGTATATATTGTCTAAGCAACATGTGAAAAGCACAATATTTCTAACAATTAAGTATATATTGTCTAAGTAGTATGTGAAAAGCACAATATATCTAGCAAGTCACTAATCCTTTCATTAAGCTCACAAGCCAAATACACCACAAGGTTAAAGACATATGCTACTTGCATTCAAAAGTACGGAACATCAAACAACAAGCATGGATTTTCCTCCCATCTAACAACTATACTACCACTACACTACAATTAAGCTAATGACATGAAATTAAACTAATTAAACTAAGGGAGAGGCATAATCCATTAAGCAATGAGCATGAACCATCAAGAAAATTACAAGAGCATTCCATTAAACACTATGTTTTGACAATCTCTAGATCTATGGCATTAATACACATAGACATGCATCAATAACACAAGAAATAGAGACAAACACATGAACATCTATTCTAGCATACATAGATATATGGATAGAATGAAATGATCAATTGGAAGCATTAAACCACATAAATCATTGAATAAACAAGATTTATATATATATAAGTACCAAAACATGTATTACAACACTAATCCCTCAATAATACACAAAATCAAGATGTAGAAAGCATGTTTGGGGCTAACTCTAGCCTCAAGAGGATGTCTAGCCACTCATGGTAATGCTTCTCCAACCCTCAAGGGCAAACTCCATGGAAGAAATCTACTTCTTGGTTGATAAAGAGCTCCCAAGCTTGTGTCTCTAGCCTTCTCCTCATTTCTTCCTCCCTAAGAATAACCTCTATTGTGATAGATGGATCCCCCTCAAAAAGTGTATCATATTCTATATATAGGTAGGTCAAGTGACACACAAAATTAGCTGGGGTTGTGCATCAAATATTCCCCAATGATTGGATAAGGATAGCTTTCAATGAGCTGGAAATTTAACTTTTTCGCATTGGAGGAAGTTCGATTAATCAAACCTTGGACTTGGATCGATCGAACATAGCTGAGATCTATTGAACTGAAGTTGGATCGATCCTCAATGGCGGCGCCTTTTTGGATGAAAAAAAATCTGAGATATTTCAAAAATATTTTTGGAAAAGGGACAAAAGTGGTTGGTAGGGTGGTACAACTGGATAAGATCAATCATTTGGATAAGGACAAGGTAGTTTGATCGATCGAAGAATGATGTTGGATCGATCGAACTTTTGAGATCTCTAAAAATGTCATTATGGATCAGATCCATCTTAAAATGCTAAGATCGATCATGTTGGATCGATCGAACTTTGATCTGAGATCGATCGAAGATGTTGAATTCCACCTTTTGCTTCCACTTGGCTCCTTTTTTTGATTTATCCCAGAATTGCTTCATTTCTGCTCTTATTTGGCCGAGTTAGCTTATTTTCGGGATAAGTACCTGAAAATGAAAATAACACGAAATCAATCTAAAACGGTAAAGTAAGATAGATAAATGTACTAGAATACCTAAACTTAAGGAGTTTAAATATGCACTTTTCAGCGCTCATCACACCCCCAAACTTAAATATTGCTAGTCCCTAGCAATGATTTAGAAAGTAAAGGAATGGAATAAACAACTATACAACTATGTACTAGAAAGTAATAAATGGGTAATGCCACTTTCGTAGGGAACACGATTGAACTTAGCATATGGAACAAGCCTTTTAAACCCCTAGGTTACCCCTAGTGGACAAGTGAAGTCTCGTGAGGGTTTCCAGAAATGATACCCACAAACATTAAGCTCATTCTTTCAAAAGAGACACTAATATTGTAAACAAGCATTGGGAGAAAACTACCCCAACTATGCAATTTTTCAAACATTTCTGAGCAATCTCCCAAAATTTCAACATCAAGCAAACAAATATGGTCCTCCACACATCAAGAAAATGATCATGCAAATCAAAACAACTCTAGAATCCTTTTTGAGTGGACCGGCATTAAATGTGTTGCTATCTAAGCCAACTAAAGAATTAATCATATCCTTACCCTCAAACTAGCACACAAATCTAGTACCGATCATCAAGACAAAGAGTGGACCTTTTATTAAAGCTTTATTGTTCTAGGTGCGCTTATTCTTTTAACTCGATTTTTATTTTTTATTTTTTTATATAGGATCAAAGATGGAAGCATGGTGCAATGTGTTGATCTATTAAGCTTTCTAGCGATTCATGAGGTCAAGCGTTAGGTCAATGACTCCCAAACCCGACGGCTTTAGGGCATTAGGCGTTCAAACACCCCTACGGACTTACAAACTCAAATCAACTAGGCTACAAATGAAGACAACCTCCATCTAATCATTTTCCACTTTTCAGCATTTGGGAGAAGTCCTCACTTTTTATTACTTTTGCTTTTGCTTTTTTTTTTTTTTTTTATATATTTTTTTTGAAGCAATTTCAATTATTAACCTAGAGTTTAGGCCCTACACCTTTCGGCACGAGAAGTTCAGTGCTTGATGAGGCTAGAATCCCGGCTACTTAGTGAAAAGGGGTTATTATCCACCTTTATCAAGAATGAAAACTTTCAATGCACTACTAGCCCAATTGGGATATAACCAATTTAATAATCAACAAAGCATGTACCCCACAAATGAATGCTAGTGTGCGTCTGTGCTAGTGTAGAATACTAGAGTGAATCTCAAAACAATCACAAAATCAAGATGATGTGGACCACAAGTGCAAGCAAGATATCAATTTTTCAAAAAATTTACTCATAAATGGCATCCGCAAGGCATATAAGGAGTATTGAACTCTCAAGTCAAGCAATTTTTAAATTTTAAGCAATATAGTCCTCAAAAGATCAAAATCATTACTAACATCAATCTCAAATCTCAATCATGCATTTAAGTCTCAAGCTAAGGTAGAATGCAACAAAGTCACCTTACCCCCAAACTTAAACTGCACATTGTCCTTAATGTGCAATGAGAACAATGGAAAAGATGGAAAGAGTATACCATGATGGCGAAAGCATGAAGCCCGGCTATGATCCAATTCAAAAGATGTCTCCCCCAAACTTAGAATCAACAACCTACTTGAATAACCACACTAGCAAACTCACATCAAATATCAAATGGGAGAAGATAAGTAAATCAAGCATTCTAAGGCAATATAGCACAAGATGAAAGGGAGATCTGAGATTAAGCCCTAACTCAAGCATAAAGTATGCATAACTACACATACGGGCACCATGGTGAATCTTTTTAATTTTTTTTTTTTTTTTTTTTTTTTTTGGAAGTAAAATAAAAATGAAATAAAACTATTTTTGGAGTTTTTGAAAAGAATAGAATAAAATAAAAATAAAATATTTTTTTGAATTTAAAATTTGAAAGTCAAAACAAAGTCAAAACAATAAATTCCAAAATTGAGATCGATCTGAACCAAATGTTCAATC